CAGTTTTTAGCCACCTTCACCCAAGTACAGCGTGTGGTCGCACACACTGTGCAATCAGTGCAATCAAGCTGTAAGCAAAAATGAGTGGAGTGTGAATGTTGAGCTTGAGTGTTGGTAAGACACCTTGAAGTGTGCCATCCATGATGAGCTGGATCTCTGCTGTCACATCCTTCACAGCCATCGCATCCTGGACTAACACACATAAACAAGCACAGAACAGATGTTTATGTGTAAAAAGGCGAGCCATCAGATTTTGTCTTTGGATGGTGTGACGTTAGGAGTGCGACTACATTTCGGAGTCAAAGATCAACCATTTAAAGATTTCATGGTGATATTGATTTGGCAATAATCACGGCAGAGATCTTTGCCACCTCATTCGTCTGTTCATTTTACAGTTACCCTTATTCGGTCTGAACACCACGGCGAGTATGGGCTGCCGCGGATAGTGCGTATGTGACTGTGTGTTTGTCAACAGGAAGGCACAGGAAGTGCGCAGGGGTCAGGTATGAATGTAAACCACTGCTTTTTGTCCTCAATACTGACTTATGAAGTCAGGGATGTGTTGTTTGCTGCACCTTCAATGACTACAATGCTCGACAATTTGACACTGATGCGTCTGCAATATGGCTGCGACAGGAGTCACCCAATCACACCTTCCCGTAGTAGTTCAAGTCTAAAGAAAGCAGGCAGCCTCGAGATAGGTGTTTTCAGGCCTAGCTACATGCAGCGTTTCTATGAAAACAATCAAAATACTACCAATCTGAATATCTCCATAGCAACAATGTACTCTCTGAAAAAGTATATCGTTGTATCTTTCGGGGTACTATTACTACAGTTTGTAACTTTACCTTGGAGTCCATTAGCCCTATTGGGTAAAGTAGGTTAGATTGTTCCTTGAGTGGCATTATTGGACTCTCACTGCATCCCTATTTCTGAAACTGTATCGATCTAAAATGCAATATGAACGGAAGCTGGCAAACCAACAGCAAACAATTGCCTTATTACGCATCCAGCAGACAAGAAGAAACCTCAACCTCCATTTGGAGTCTCGCAGAAGCCTGATTAAATTCGCTCTCCCTTTTAGCTCCGTTTCGGTTTCCTGAGGGAAATACAGTATGTGGCTCCACACCGAGTAAGTGATCCTCTCGTTCGCCATCAGCTTCCAGGTCCCTTTGCAGGCTCACTACCCCGCAGCATCCGATGCCGCAGTTCCACTGCATAGTATGTTGCTCAACTCAGCTGTACTCTTCGCAGGTGAGGTTGGTTGGTTTTTCCACTTCCAAAGAGTACCTGGAAACTGGGATGGGGAAACCTCTTTGAACACATCAATCTGAAGTAAACTGAACAACAATGGAGAAAAACGTGGCTCTTAGGAGGGAAGACGTGGACAACATCGAGATGGCCACATTGACTGCAGAGGTATCCGGAAGAATTCCGACATGAGGGCATGAAGGCATTGCAAAGATGGCTGAGGAAGTATGCCACCAGGGGGCGTTCCTTCTAAGAAGAAACTACTTTGTAGTTTCGGTTTTGAAAAATATCCTGCGTGACAACAGTTCTGGAACTTTTCTGACATTACTCAGATAACACTTAAGTGTCGAGGGCGAAGCTAAACTAACTTTCACGTCCACGTGTGTGTTCTAGCTATGCGTCCTTATAAGCTATGATCCAACAATGATGAATCCACTCAACCGATAAGTGACCAGCAGTGGTTTATGTCCCATTAGCGTATCGCGTCATAAGCCAACTAAGTACTGTGCAGTGGAAAAAAAGGCATGTTGTGGGTCCTGCACAGTGGAGGGTGTACAACTCCTGATTTGTTCAAATTACTTCCAAAAAGAAATCGTATTTTTTGAAATTCTGGGCCAAAATGTGAGTTGTTCTACCAACAAACTGTTTGAGGTCTGATGGTCAACAGTTTCTGTCTATGAAAACAGCTGCCAGAGTAATAAGTGTGGTAAAGGCTAAAGCACAATATCCTCTGTTAAAGTAGTTAGTTGAAATCTCGAGAGTGCTCAGTCGAGCTGAGGGAGATTGATGAGTCAGGTGAGCATATTGTTAGAGACATAACCTGATCAGGTAGGCCTGATTGAAAAAACAGGCTGGGGTGGTTGTAAAAAAAAAAAAAAAAAACTTTTCCTCAATGAAGTTCTTGTCTTCAAGTACATACCTGCTACATCAGCGCCTCGGTGGCGCCTGTCTTTTTGCTATTTCATTTCCTTTTAAGAATAGAGCCAAAATTTTACAGTTCATACTCAGGAAGGGTGTGTGTGTGTGTGTCTGTATGCATGTATGTGTGTCCGAGACGATAAATGGATGCGGATGATCACTTGTGTTTGTGTATGTTATGAGCAGCAGCACTTTGATGAAGCATCGGGTGGGTTTCGGGTGTTGGCAAAGGCAACGGCAGTCCCCAAACACCTGGTGAGGATAATCAACTGACTGTTTATCATCATGTCCGACTTGTATAATGATGGAATAGTGAGGCAGGGAATGTAAACACCCATTGGACAAACTATCTCACCTTTATTTTTTGATGACGGATAGAGCTACTATTTAGAGAAAAGTTACTGAAAGCCAGCTGGTGTTGATTTGTACAGCGAATTGTATCTTACAATGTGTACAGTGTGTGTATAGATATTCTAACCCTTATGTAGCCTCTGTACTGTATGTGCCACGGCGTCCTTTCTTCAATCATTCCATTGATTCAGCCATCAAAGTGGTCCTGTTATTGCTTCAATTCATGAATGTGACACCATCTTCTTTGAATTTGGCCTCCTGCTCCAAAGAGTTGACTTGACCTTGCACAGTGTAAAATTCAATACGCGATCATCCCCTTCACCGTGAACGCCATTGTCCTTTTCTAACTCCTGTAGGTGTTTACCTGTAATCCTCGAGAGAAAAAAAGAAAGAAAGAAAAAAAAAATTCTGACTGTTCTGTTTGTGTTCCGCTCAGGCTAAACACTGCCTACCGACTGTTGTCCATTCAAAATCTCACGTTGCTCACTTCAGTGTATAACGCAACTATTCAAAATTTGTCAGCAAAGTACGGGTTTCATTTCTTTTCGTTTTCCATTCTAATAGAAATATGGTTGGTGGCTAAGCTTACCAATATCGTATACGTATACTGTATTTATGTTGTGTATTGTATGACCCCCCCCCCCCACTACCTTGCGGTCTGTTTTACTAAAAAAAATGCTCTTAAAACCGCACGAAATCCAAAACGATGTCATGTTTGATAAACCACACCTTGTAGTTGAAAGCAGTCTGTGTGTTTGGACAATGTCGGGAATTTTCCAACTGAATTTGTTTCTTCAGACAATAATCTAAAATGGCATCGCAGCACGGATAAATCAATATGATGCGGTGTTGACACCAGAACAAATATTGTGGAAAAAAGTTAAGATGCTGCACACGCAATGGCAAATGCAAAGCCATACAATCTCAGAAAAAAAAGGTCCACATCGTATCTTCAGGGCTACATTAGCTTGTCAGAAATGAAATGTAGTTTCTGCAGGTACTGCTTTTGTACCATTGACCCTTACATTGTATAACTTGGAAATATGCCTGTACCTTTTAGGTCATGGCAAAGGTACAACAGTTAGCTAGCTGTCCCGTAATTAGCCAGCTGACTGCTACTTGACCTCTGTTTCTGACAGTGTAGCAAGCAGCGGATTAGCTTCGCATAAACAAGTGAAACCACCTCAAACTCCTCAGAGGCATCTCTCAAATGAAAATGAAGGATACATGCGAACGGATTTAGTCTTAACAAGCATGATGATTGCAGTCACAGTATTTTTATCTGGGAATTTAGGCCTTGCTGTTGTCAGGAAAATTCTCCAGCAAATAGACCTGGCCCAATTCTCTTAAACCACATGCTATTTCGCACAGGTAGTGATTTTTGTCAAACATTTCCTTGCCTGTTACTGCACCGTCAGATTTACACTTAATGGCGAATGTAAACTCCATTAGTTCTTTGAAATAAAAAGACCCAAGAGTAAGAGCCAATTTAACGGCAGATTTCAATAATAATTGTTGACTATAGTGGAGTACCGAATTGCACTTTGACATATGGGGCCAACTTTTGAATTGTAAATAGTCAAGAAAGTCTTCCAAAACTTTTTTGGAGAGGAGAATAAAATGTTCAATATCCAATCTACACGTCACTTATTTAACAGAAAATGAAGGCATTTTGCTTCTATTTGCACCAGATCAACACACCCAGTACGTGCACTTTCTTTCCAAAACATCTGTAGGCTGACTTTGTAAAACAATTTTGTAACAGAGGTCTGTTTGGCTAATTCTCAGCCTTGATACCCGATGTCCTATGCTTTATTATGTATCAATAATGTTCCCCTGTTTTGATGGTGTTGAGGTTTGCTAGTCAGAAACTGTTACATCTTTACTTACAATGTTTGATTTCAAATTTGATCAAATATATTCAAAGAAATAAAGACTAATGTAATTCAGAGGGACTTCTTTTTAAATCCAGCTTTCTCCCCTTGTCTGTCCTTGAGGCTATTACAGTATTTCATATTACATTCGCAAATCATTTACTTTCTAAGTTGACTTTTTTCTCTACACACCCACCCATACACGCACACACACACAAAAAGTTAGTTTTTTTTTTCTGAGAAGATATGTACCTAACATTTGGTGATTCATAGAGCACTGGCTCATTTAAATAAAAAAAAAAGCCTGATTGATGCTTTCATGTGCTCGGGCTCTACCAAGTTCCTCAAGGTTAAATAAGGCAAGTTTTATTATTTTCAAAAGGTATCTTATCGAGCGTCAAACACCACCGTGTTGCCGTTAGAGGGCACTGTTCATCCTCACAATTCTTCTTCATACTGATTTGCTCGTCAATTATTTTTCTTACCATCAGGGGGGGCCAGAGTTCTTCCTCTGAAGTGTACTTGTGGTCGTGAAACACCCTGTTTGACAGGCAAAACCAATAAAGTAATGAATAGAGAGAATAACATTCTAAAATTTTTTGACATCATATTTATTCTCTGTCGTCTGTTTTTCCCATTTATAAACCAACTAAACATGATAACTGGAACTTAGATGAATCTCAAAATTCAATGGTAACATTTGAAATATCACCACGTACTTTAATCGCATGCGAGGAAATAACCATACGATGTATGCTGTTTTGAATTAACTGCACATTATGGTCTAGCTCAATAAATGACTCAAACATGAAAGAAGATTCATTTTGAAATGTTGGGTGCAGCTGCAGAATGTGACAATTCCCTTCGCGTGTGTTCGACATACAACGCTATACAACTATTACGCACAGAATTCACACACAACAGTCAACAGACTCAGTTTACCATGTTGAATGTTGTATTATTTCACTACAGGCGTTAGGGTTGGTGAGGTCCAAAATGAGAAAGCAAAAACTTGAGTTAATAAGGCAGTATGCGATCTGAAAACGTTCTTTTTCTAACTTATTTTACACCTCACATTATTTGGTGCGGCACAACCCAGTCAAGACAAATGCTTTTGTTGTGTTGAAAAACTAAGATCTATTATACCCACGACTCACTTCAGTATATACATATACACTATTAAGCTCTGATAAAATAATGCCAGTGTAAACAAGCTTCAGTATCACGCAATCTCCAAATATTGCACGTACATTCATAAATACACACGTTTGCTTTGTGCCTCCACGTTAACGCATCTGCATGTGTGTGACACATGTGACGCAGAACAAAACATTGGATAAAGAGAAGCCCCGACGTAACACACATACACACGCGCACACGATGCTTGCTTGCACACATGTCGGTAAACGTCCACACAAACGAGCAGCGGTCGCAAAATTAGGCACAGCTGCACAATCAAATGCCATCTACAACCAGTTCCGACACCAGTTACCTGTCAATACATTGATCCAAATTTTAAAAATAAGATTTTACATGTTTTTGTTCTTTGTCTATCTGGCTAACAAAAAAAAGTACTAATTGGTTTCAAGGAAGTATGTCGAAGTGATACGTCTTGACTGAGAGAATAACATCTTTGTATGTTGGGGCGGGGCTAAATTTAGTCAGCGTTGATCGTGGAAGTTACGTGCTCACTTCCGGTGTATTTTTTTTTTCTTTTCAAAATGCCATTTATTTTAAAGGGTAATGTAGGATGACTGAAATGATATGAAAGTGTTTTGGATCATCATTTTTGGTACATTTAGAGGTTAAATAAATAATATAAGCAATTATTTAGTGGCGTTTTATTGTGCAGTTGTACCTAATGTGGCAAGCGAGTGTATAAACTCATATTCACACAGATTAAGTCCCTCTGTGCCCCATCCCATCCCTCTGCCCCATTCAACCTAAGTGTGTATATGGCGGGAATGTGAAGAACTTTCTTCACACTGTTGTCTTGTGGTCCGTCGTCACGGCTGACAAACAATCCCCAAAAAAATGTCTTCCACTGAAGTGTGCTTTGGTTTCGTGCTGTCAAAGCTGAGCGTCTTTGGTCCTCGCCTGATGCAGACTGAAGCAAGACACCCCTCCCAGGCCCATTCGTTGACAAAAGATGCGGAAGACCCGCGGCCGAGAAATGCCAGGTCCAACAACTCCAGATCTCAGTTTGAATACAATTCAGTCAGAAGGTGCACGTCCCCCTTATGAGGATCTCGTCCATGTGTCTTTTAGGCATCCCCAGTTTGATCTGACGTCAGCTGCTCTTGGTCGGAGATGTTGTCCCCGGCTGGCGGCCTCGCCCGGTCGAAGAAACCACACTGAGAGGGAAAACAGCAAGGCTTTAGCGTCGTAAAAGGTCAAGAGATGACCATGTTGGGAAAACAGTTGATTACGGACGCACCTTCCACATTGCGAGCGTTAGCACGGCGAGCACGAGCAACCCAAGCAGTATGGCCAGTATGATGACCCAGAGTGGAACAGCAAAGGACACATCTGGTGTCCCCCATAACACAGGTGTCCCCATCTACATGGCGCACATTCAACACAATATTCATTCATCATCATTTCCTATAGTGATTATCCTTTGCCTTCTCAGCTGACCAAGTGTACCTTCACAGCAAGGGAGGGGTAAAATATTGATATTGTGATGTATACACAGTACAGTATCGACACGCCAACATCAGATATCAATATTGTTGGTGTCAGACATCCACTTATTTGCAGTTGCGCATCATTTTTTTATTGTGCGTGTCATCATTAACCCTTTCAGGGACAGCGGTTACTACAGTGGACAGCTTGCCATGTGATCAGGTTACAGGGTGCATGAAAAGGTTAAGGCCATGGGTATGCTGGGGCATATCCCAGCTGATTTTAGATGAGAGGCAGGGTACACCCTGGATTGGTCACCAGAAAATCAGAGGGCAAATATTGGAAATGACTATTCACCCAAAAAAATAATAATCCCAATTATTTTGATTGATATCGACATCACGATGACGAAAAATGATTATTCATTGAATTAAAAAATGTGTATTTATTCAACTACTGAACCTTACTACTCAAAGCTACCATCAACCCTCCAAAGAAGTGATCCTCGACAGATTCCCAACCAGATTCGAGCTCAATCAAAACCTCCCATGATCTTACCGATATGGTGCGTTGAGGCAGGATGGGGGGCTGGGCCCGATAAGGCATGGACAGGACCGTGAAGGTTACAGTAGAGTTGAGAACGTAGGGGTCATTACGCCGCTACAGGACAAACGTGCAAGTTGTTTGAGTAACAATCATAATGAAGCGTGCCGAAGAAAATTGGCTGAACTGACACAACCGTTTGTAGTCCAAAAGTCAGGGATGTGACTTCAAGCTTTTTAATTGAGTTCCAAGGCAAACCTCGCTGGACCCAATAAACAAAAGGTGAATGAAGCAAAAATGTGGAACCAGACACTGACCTGCAAGAACGTATGAGCCCACAGTCTTGAGCGGACTTTAACGACTGCGCTCTGGCCGCGATTCAAGCGGCCCACGACGCACGTGATTCTCAGGCAGGAGATGTTAGTGCAGTTCTGCAGAAGAGACACCTGTCAACATTTTGATTCACGTTCTGGAGAGGTTGCGCGATGATATCGCGTTTCTCACCAGGATTTTACCGCCGTGACTTTGGGCGGTGCTGGCGGCTCGCTTGTGGCGGCGAAGAGGTGCGCTGGTGTTCCTCAAGAAGCCAAGAAGTTCAGGAGTATCTTGAAGGGATGATATCTAGAAAAAAAACCATAAATGGGTTGCTCTCAGGAAACGTGGACCAGGAGTGTGACATGTAAGGCCAAAACTGAACTAGTGCAAAACCAGTTCAAAAAGATATATGCTTTAAGGCGAAAACTCCCCCCAGTGTGCTGTAAATAAATAAAGATGGTCCACTCAGCCCTTTGCTCGCAGGAGATTGTTGAGTGTCGTGGTGTACTCGGTGGTTACGTGTGTGTCCGTACGGTTGTTACGTAGACACGGAACACGAAGCACTCAAGTACCAAATTATTTTTTCAATCACACGTTACAAACATGTTGTTCTTCTGGGGGGGAGGCTGGAATGGATCGATTGCATTTCAATTCATTTTCATGGGAAAAAATGATATGAGATACTAATGTTGGCATAGTAGCGGAACAAATTACATTTGTACCTTAAGGCACCGCCGCCGTGTGTGTGTTTTTAAACCCAATATATTACACACAATCCTGTGATTTGTTTTGATATGTACGGTATGCGTTTCTATCCAAAACAACCGCCTTATGTGGATACTTTAGTCTTACCTGCAGTCCAAGCGGATTGAGGCTGCTATTCGTCCGACAGCTTATTGGTCCATCGGTTCTAATCTCCATCGCATACAGCAGGTTCTCGTCACGGAAGCGGGAAGGCCAGCCAACCTCAACCTCGGCCTCCCGAATACTACTGGGACCCGAGTTATGGAGCTGGAAACGTTAGAAGTGGTCGACAAGTTAGTCGTTTTATTGCTGTGGGCCTCAAGTGACTATACGCTATAATTGGGTTATCATAACTGTGGCGTGATGACACGGGCCACCTGGGTTCTTGGCTGCACGCTGCAACGCTAATAGGCCTTCACTCAGGGAGGATTGAAGACAGAGACAAGACAAATCTACAGCTTCGGCCCTTGTTTGGCATCAGGACGAGGGTGAATGAATTGGGAGCTTAAATGAACCATCAATTCGACAAAGCCACCTTTACACTCACTCACACATTCTCGCATAGACACACGCGTTCATTAACAGTGAGGTAAGTCATCCAAACAGGACATGATCCCGGTGCTGCGGGGCAGGAATTCTGACTGAAGGAGCAAAAAGGAAAAAAAAAAAAAAAACTGTCCTCTTTAAGTAGAAGCAGCTGCCAAGTGGGAAAAGAACCGCCAATGAAAATCATTATCAGCTGCAGGAAAGTCCAGACGCTGCAGCGCTCTAGTTCAATGAAGCCGTGGCCCCTTTAAAATCCAGATACATCACATGTACAGCACATGGACGCGCACACACACACACACACACACACACACACACACACACACACACACACACACACACACACACACACTCATTGTAAACTGTCGCCAGTGTGTCTGCCATTTACCCTCTTTCTATCTGTACCTTATTTTGGACCCAAATTTTCCTTCTCCAAAATTATCCCGCGTTGAAAAATCATGTTCGGCCCCCTTGCACCATACCTGCCTTTGCGGCACCTCAGATAATGTTTACATTGTGTTTATTTGCATTCATTGGATTACTTTTTGACAAATTCCACCGTTGCAGCCAAAGTTGCTGCAGGTGTTTACCTCATAGATGTGCGTCACCTGTGGGCCCACATCATCTTCCTTGACAGGCTTCTCTTTGGGCTCCCAGCGTGGAAATGGCAACACCACCTGAGAGGGATGAGACACTCTGTGGAAATGAGGACACGCACATGACTCAGTGAAGGAGAAAGAGTTCATTCAGAAAGCACAATTCCACTGCATTAGGTTTGTCCTTTGGAGCATAATATTGCTTTCAGGTTATTTCTGAAACTCTCAAGTGAGGTTCTTAAAAGATTTTCTGGGCACAATCGTCTTTGTCTTTCTGTTGTATGGCTTATTTTATTTTTTAACCCTTTCATGCATCCTGTAACCTGATAACATGATAAGCTGTCCATGTAGTCATGTAATTGCTGTGCACTGGAGCCAGAGATGAGTCACACTGTCACATGTCGCATACAGTGAACACATAGTCAGAGCAGGTAACACATTTAAAGATCATTCATGGAGGGAGAAAACAAGAACAGTTGGAAAGTGCAGAACTTTGCCAGGACTTCACCATTTGTCACCTACAAAGTCAAACCAGCATCTGGAACGTTTACATTTGGCTCATTTGGAATCAGAATTAATTCTGGATCCCCATGAAACATTTTCCCTTCTTTTTAAATATTCAAATCTCACGTAAACGCAACAAATTACGAGCGAACTGAACAATCTTTGACAGAGATATAAACAGCTGAGCACATGCCCAGCCGGACATCCCGAGTTGCATTTAAAATGCTGCCAAAATGCTCAATGTGGATCGGATAACGATCCTTTAACTCTGTGTGGAAGTACACATCGAAAACACACACACACACACACACACACACACACACACTATATAATAGCAAATTTCTTTTTTTAAAACAAAAAGAGCGATAACCAGTCGTGACAATGCGCTGTGCACTCCCAAACTTGAAACGGGGACATGATGGCGGCTTACGACATTTATTATCATTTTGCTTTTCTGTTTCAACTGATGAGGGCAAAAAAAAAAAAAAAGGCACGAGTTTTCAGAGTTTGCATGATTGTCGATGTATCAGTGCACATGCCGAGGGCTCAGAAGGAAACCATGTGCACATGATTACAGCAGATGTATTTCTTCATATTTTTTAATTTAATCATGCACGTTACACTGTAGCAAAGGGGGAGAAAAAAAGAAAAAAAAGAAAAGCCCCAAGCACCAAAAGCACAAAAGCAGATCGTTTTTACGTCACAGATGAAGAACATGCAAGGACTCACCCTCGTAAATCAATCTGGGATTTGGCGACGATGGCCAGATTCAGGCTGACTGGATTGCTATCAGGGCTGTCTTTGTTGGAGCTGCAGGGGGGCGGGGGTGGGGGGATGATATTCACGTTGGTTGTTAAAGAAATAAAACACATACACTCCATCCTGTAAAACTGTGACCTAATATAAGTGACAGGAATGTCTCAGATGATCATTTTATTTTGTTGTGTTTAACTAATGTGAAATGGTATCGCATGGGACCTGTCCCATCGTAAGTGTGATAAATGATGACATTTGTCACAACAAAAGCCACCCGCATTGATTGCGTGATCAGATTTTCTTCACCCACAATCTCCGACAAGCGTCTCTTTGTTCAGTCGTGTATGTGCGTCGTGTGCATTGTGACGGCGGCATGTACGTCACTCATGGTGGGCCTGTCACCTGTGGATCTGTAGCTCAAAGCTAATTTTTGGTCCAGCGTCTTCGAGCCTTTGGACTGCAAACCGCAAACCAACAGACAGCTGTGGAGAGTACATGAAAAAAATCAATAAATCAGCCTCACAGAGTTAAAAAGAAAGAAGTGCGGTGTGCTTTATTGAGACAGGAAAGGCCTAATTAACTAGGTCATTCTTCCGTTATTATGCGCGAAGAAGATCCAGTTTGAAGTGTTGACAAAACGCACACTGAGATGCTTGTGAATCCCCCGACATCGTCTAACGTAAACCACATGCAAGCGAGTGCTCATCGCAAAAAACTACTCGACGGCGTGCTTGCACACGTGCACGTGAGCACCGCACTAGACGTCAGGCCTGACACACGGTTGTGAAAATGACAGCAAGCAGACTAAAAGAAGCAGCCCCATGGGGGCACCGAGATTTGAGGCCGTCTATATGGAACGCATTAGTGAGGCTGCAGGAGAAGAACCAGGCGCTGAAGATCCAAAGAGGGCAAACGGGTACGAGTCGGTCAAAGTGTCACAGAGGTCTGATCCAAAAGAGGCTGGTAAATCGTTACTGTTGCAGTTTCAGTCCTCGGAGCGGAGCATCTGTTGCCAGCATGGAGCTCATTTTAAGTGCTTTGAAGCTACGTGTTCAATGCTCGATAAATGCTTCAGATTGCAAAACGTGAATGTCATGCCAGTATATGCATCTTATCCACAGCAAAGCTCCCATTTGTTCGTATTACCATATCCCTGTTAAAATGCCGATGGAGTAAAACTACACTGGGATGACACAAAACCTAACCACTAATGAGACCATAAACCTGTCACTTGTTGAGACTGAAAAATGCTTTGCTGTAAACTATAAACGGATAAGTAGACCACCACGTTTTCTGGATTTTCTCAAACATTTCAATACGTTATGCAAGAAGAAGAGACAACACAACCGTGCAGGTGTTCTATCCGACTGCGGAGGTTGGTTTTAGTTTCACCAACTTCTCTCAAAATTCCTTAAAATGGAATAGCAAATGATTTGTTGGTGTTATGCCGGCATCGAAAGTACCGTATTTTCCGCACTATAAGGCGGAAAAGCATTCGATTTTCTCAAAAGCCGACAGTGCGCCTTATAATTTGATGCGCCTTCTATAGGGATCACAATTCTAATTTCTTGGACGTAGTATTTTAAATGTTCTGTAAAGCGCTTTGTTACAGCTGCAATGGTTGCGAAAACTCTTTACAAATAAATCTGTATTGTATTGTATTCCCTTTAGCATACCTCCATCTTGTGGATGCATAATGCAACTGCAGCCTACTATTGTAGCTTCTGTTCTGTGCGCCTTATAACGCGGTGCGCCCTACATATGAAAACAGTTTTAACCCTTTCATGCACCCTGTAACCTGATAACACGATAAGTCACTGTAGTAACCGCTGACCCTGAAAGTAGGCCATTCATTTTACACTTGCCCAATCAAACGAGAAAAAAAAAAATACAGGAGCTGCAAGTTTGCACTTTGATAATAAATTATATACCACATTCTAGTAAAGGCCGAACTTTGGATGTAGTTCTCGTTACGGATAACATTACATTGTGCAGGTGTGCTCAATGATGCGGTCAACGTGTGTTTCTAATTACTTTTAATGAATACTTTTTGGTTATTACATTTGCATTCCATCATAGTAATTCAGACTTCAGTTGCCTTTCTCGGGGACGTGCTACATCTGTGATATAACCCAGAAGGAATGATTGAACTCCAGTGATGACAACTCTTTATAGGCCAGATATACCAAGCATATGCGTGGGGGTGCATGCAAGTATGTTTGACACTAGCCTGTGGATTCCTGAGCATCCAGTGGGGGGAAAGGGGAGAGTTAATAACTCTCATCTGGGAAGCTGGGACCCCCCCCCCCCCACTCACATATACGTGCACCTTTTGCATACCTCATTATACTCTCTTTCTTCCCAATGTGGTGTAACGTGACCACGTAATTGATTTATAACAATGCCGGGCGTCACATCGCCTTGACACCTTCACTAAGAACCTTTGCCCTGACATGCACACATGTGACATGAGCTCCATATATTCATTGCAGGAAATGACGACCTGTTACTTTACAAAGTTTCGGCTTCCTGCATGTGTCAGTCATCCAGGAGGTAAGTATATCCTTATTGCATACACTGAAACCCTCAGGTATGCATCACCCTCAGTCGGTGTATGAGCGGGAGTCAAGGCGAGCGAAATGGTGTAGAATTAACGCGAGTCAATGAGATGATCGGTAACTATCGTAAACAATCAATCAGTATGCGTTAAAGCTGAGGAGATGCAGCGCCGGATTTTTAGACGGTCGGTGACAAAAGATGTTGGAGGGAAAGTGCTTGATGGATTTGGAGTGTGCATCTGTTCACCTCGGTTTGGGCCACCATGGGGTTGCCCAGGTCACACACGACCAGCCTGGAGTCATTCACCATCTTGTATTCGCAGTTCAGCTGAGCCAGAGACTGGAGAAAGGTGGGGTGGGGGACACATGTGGAAAAAGAAGAAAAAAAAAACTATGGTACATAAAAAGGAGTTGAGTGATTTAGTCGAGTGTTCAAAAGGGTACGAAGTGTTGCAAAGGCCACAAAGAGTATTTCCCTCTCGCATGCACCCCAAAAATTCTCACATGCACAAAAACCTATCACAGGCTCAAAAAACCATTAAATAGACCAAAATATTCTCACATTACCACCCCACTCCCAAAGTCCTCATTCACCTCCCTAAAAAAGATTCACTCATGCCAAAAAACTCATATCCACTGAAAACCACCCAACATATAAAAATAAACTCTTATTCACCAAAAGCCTCTCACATACACTTAACAAAAACATTTACTCACACCACAAATTTCTAAAATGAACCTAAAATCCTTTAATGGGCACATAAAAAAACTTACATCACTTCACATTCACCCAAAAAGTCACTCTGACCAAAAGAAAATCACATTCACCATGAAACCCTCTTTCCCTCATGCCCCAAAACTTTCACATCAAACCAAAACTCTCACATGAACCAAAAAAAAACCCTCTCTCTCTCTCTCACATACACACATGTGCAACCAAAAACACTTATCCATTAAAGAAAAAAAAAAAAATCACAGACTCACTCAGTCACTCACTTGAGGTGTGTGTGTTTTTTTGTGTACGTGAGATTTTTCGCTGCATGTGACAATTTTTCTTTTCCGAATGTGAGTGTATAAATGTCATCTTTGGGAAATGTCATTTTGGGCCCATTGATACACCTTAGGCGAACAAACAAGGGAGAGAAACAGCATCAAAAAATGGGGTAGGAGGGACGAAGAGGTGGAAAGGAGAAGTGATGAATGCTCTGACAGTAACAACCCCATCTATTATGCAGCTCCATTACACTCTCGTTAGTGTGGACACATACACGCGCACGCGCACACACACATTCAGAGGTAAACACAAGTACACACATGGCAATTGAGCCTGTTGATTTCCAGGGGGGGCTCTAATGCAGCTTGGGCATCAAAAAAGGAAGCTTTGTGGGCCGTTGCCAGCAAAGCGCAAACAGCTGATAGTGCCGCCTTCATCGGCCCAAACAAACAAGGTCACGACACAACGGGAAATGATGTCACACTGTAACTGCATGTACACATATGTTCGAAGCATGACGGGACAATTGCTTCATTGTGAAGCTTCCACTTTCAGAACTCGTGCGCCACGGTAGCAGCAAGATCTTTGATTTAGAATGTGTGTCTGTGTATGTGTGTAACTTTGTGTGATTTATTTCACCTCGACTCTTCTCTCCACACCAATGTAGTCAGCCTCGGGTGGGATCAGTACATGGAGCTCCGTTTCGTAGGCTCCCTCGCCTGGGTTCGCCGCGGTGATGGTCAACATCACCAAATTGTCATCTCCGATCACCAGTTCAGAGCGGTCCCTGTGAGGTAGGGGGAGGGTTCATCTTTAAGTCAGGTATGAACCTAATAACTCGATAAGGCCATGCCCATATAAATAGTCGGAAAGCCAAATGAATGGAATTTTTGTGAAAGGTCTCTGTTCTCTAAAGTTATTGAAAATTGTAGCCTTACTCAGTTCTTGCATTTCATCTTAAATACACTTTAAGACGGTTCTGTACATCTATTGTATGTATGAACCCAAATGTCAGAATGCAGTCAGACAGTTGCTAACCAAGCTTCTGATTGGTTAAAAGAATAAGTCCACAAATTTGAGTTGTTTTTGTTAAAAAAAAAAAAAAAATTTGGAAAGTCGTTTGGGTGGGTCAAATCCCTTTTTGACCCAAATTGTATTATTTTTGAACCTAGAGTGCTGCATTGATGGAATTAAATGTCCTTGACCTCCGCTTGTGTGCATGTATGTGTCAGTCAGTAATGGGTGACAGGATGTTTGTATAATGTTGCCATGGAGATGGCGTGCATCTGGAAGCACTCCAGAGAGAAGGCTGCTTCTTAGACACATTGATGCTTCACATGGTCGACTGAACTACAATGCCCAGCTCTGATGAAAACCTTTCTTTTATTGTTTGGGGACTAACTGATTTTTTTTCTTTTGGGCATGGCTGTGTGTGCTTTCTGATGAGTTCCGCGTTTTTTAGTTGATGTCTTACATGCTGGCAGTCAGCTGAAGGTCTGGGATGCAAATATTGTCATCACCGCAGTCCAGGAGAATGTAGGCCTGAGAAGAAGCAGAGGATCGTTATGAGAAAATAATTAAGTCACCCGATCTACAGGTAAGCTGGAGCTATTTCATTTGACTTTTGGGGTACACCCTGGACTGATTGCCAAAAATCATAATGCTAAATACTAATTAAATTTGTTGGAGGAGAATTAAAGAAGCTTCAAGCTACATTCAAGATTTCTGGTCTGGCGTCCAAATTACAACTTTATTTGGAGGCTAAGAAGTCTTGTGAACCATCTCCGAGTTTGTTACCTCTGTTGATTGGTTTAAAAAAAATACAGTACAATAACATTGAGTCTGGGCAGCGCGGTGGACTAGCGGTTTGCACGTCTCCCTTCCTGCATGCAGTTTGAATGTTTACGAAGGTTTTCTCTGCTAGGCCCAAACTAACCAGCAACCCAAATATGGAAATAAGAGTAATTGTACATAGCTCATCGCTCTCTGCTTTTAGATATATAATCAACTTATTAGTGTGACCCTGCAAGGACTTTATTTACGTACATAGTGATGAGAAAAGTACACAGCGTGTGAAAGAAAGTAGTTTATCATGCTGAAGAGACCAGCTTGTTCATGATCGCAGTCTTGAGGAAGAAGAAGTGAGGATAAAGAATTCAGGACGGCGTCCCCGTGACGCAACCACAGCTGCAATCACAAACTGTCAATCGGCAGCATGGTTCCTCCAATTACTTAAGAATACATTATGTGTGTGTTCCCCCACCCCTTTAGAAGCTTCTGTGTTAGGAAACTCCCTAAGACAATAAAAAGAGAGGAGATGAGCCCACTGTTGTCAGAGCTGTCCCGAGACTGTAACCGTACACAGGCTGTTACACTCTCAGCGCACTCGTGAGAAAAGACAACTCCTAGTCTCTCTTTGTGTTTTAAGGTCCTCCTACTTGGTCCTTCGAGCCGGATTTTAACCAGCGACCTAGGATCCGAGGTATTGGATGAATATTACATTTTCTTTTGACAAACAGGCCCATTTATGTTCAGGTGTTGTGGTGTTCATGCTTACATGCTCTTGTAGGAAGGTGCTACTGTAGTAGTTGAGGACCGGTGGGAGCATCTGGCCGTGAGAGGGAGGAGCCAAGCTGTAGTTCAGTGCCAATGAGATGGGACTCAATTTATCGCGGAACTCATCTTCCTCCTGTGAAGAAAGAAACCAGCATACATTAAGAACTGACCGTAAGCAGATCAGGTGGCGTACGCGTGTGTGGCATGGTCCGCTCACTCTCAAGTAAATGGTGTAACTTAGGCAAGCCTGTGGATGGTCGTGGCCCAGCGTTAGGAGTCCAGTGACCTGAGGCTGCTGGTTATCCAAGAAGAGAACTCGCTTCACACCCCCTCGGACACCTTTCAACCAATCCAAATGCAGCTCTGCTTTCAGGTCTGAAGAGGATGGAATAGAGATGGGTGGAAAGAAATGATCCGGCACAGCTCCCACATTGTGAGGAAAAGGAGTGAGAGGAGTGTCCAAGAGAGTTCATAGATTTGTTCTCAAGCTACCGTAATTCCAAAGCTTTAAATTGTTCAATGAGCGGAAACATAACAGACTTTGTGGGGACAGAGCAAAATCACTTTGATCTATTTGTGATAAAATATCAAATGTCCGCCCTACAGTGATGGAATATAACACATGAGTGCACGTACAGTACTCGCAAGGCAAATTTGTGTCATACGAATTTGAAGGGTCTGAATGCCTCAAAATGTGCTTACCCACAGAGCTGGGGATGCCCACTCCGCTCACTTCCGCACATACGTCCACCTTCAGGCTGCAAGACAAGTTATCAGAGTTAATGTTGCGTATGGCGTTCAATGTGGACACGTTTATGGACTTCATCCAGGTATTTTATTTCTTGGGGCAGTGAATTCCTCAGGGAGCGTAACATGGGAGAGTAACATTGTGCATTTCCTCTATTTATGTCTTCATCAATATACGTCTACGTGGTTGTGCATTTGTGCTATCGCCTCTTTAAATCTAGTAAACACTAAACTGAGCCCCACATTAGGGGCGGCTAATTTCCCATAATCTAAGGAAGCATGGGGACACTCCTGAATTAAAACTACGCAACATGAGGCACAGTTTGTTTGGTTCCACTTCAACAACGCTAATGACTTCAATGTACATAATTGAGCTCGTCTGGTGTGGCACCAAACTCAGTAAAATTGAGTTGGGTTTCCCGAATCTAATAAATGTGTATGATGCAGATGCTTTAGTGTCTCTCGTAAAACACAAATCTTAGAAAAAAAAAAAAAAAAAAGAAAGCACCCCCCCACATTTACTTGGACTTCTCCAGGTGGTTTTGTGAGTGTTGCATGTGTTTTATATTATATGTATCAGGGTGGGTGTGCTCCACTGTGATGCTAGTAATACACAATGTGTGTGTGGCATATAATATATATGGTTATGCAGCAAACAGCCTTAGCGCTGTCTTAGTCGTGACTACAGAGTGTATGGAATTCTTCCCAAAAATACATGTGTGCTTTACCACCAAACACACTGTTCTTATTAGACATGCTGACTGTAACCCCCCCCCCACCCCCCTCCATTACATTTATTGAATGAGAACTTTTAAGACATTTTACACCACAGGTTCATCCTCAATCCATCATTCGTGGCCTATCTTCTCCAGTCAATCATCAGACAAGCCATTTTCTTTTTTTTTTTTAGCTAGTGTGACCAATATTCATTGACTCGCCTCAATCTGTTTTGCCTTTAGAGGAACAGTGAGTAATAGCCACTCATGGTCACCACGGGATGTGTGCTGAGAGGCATAAAAAGCCAAATGTATAAACAACAACACAAAATTGATTAAAAAATAATAAGTGGAATGCATTGTTTGCTTACTGGAAAAATAATGTGAAGATGCATTTTCGATGGCGAGACCACAAACTACTTGGAGGAAGTGGGTGGGGCATATCACTGACAGAATCAGCGGCATTCATTGTACAATGTGTTTTGAATAAATATAAATAGTTAATGTTGGATGTATTAGTTGTCTGAACTCTTTTTTTTACTTATAAAGACATTTTTTGTGATGTGCACGAATCATAGACAGTAATATAATCATATAATGCAACATAGAAGAAAAGGCTTGTGTTTTGAGGCTTGTGATTAGTGAACCGACCTTATTTCTTCCTTTAAGGCTCGGTGGAGTTCCATGACAATTCAAGTCATGACATTCTCAAGACAGATGTTGCTGTATTTTAGCACTTGAATAAATGCTAAACCACTTCTTCATATGACTTTTACAGTTAGCAAAGGTTTTGGATCATCTCTATTTCGTATGGTGAGAATACATTTGCAATCTGAAGAATCCTTAAATGTCGCACTGAATTTCTCATTGCTGATTGGCTGAGGGAAATCATGTGTTCTACTTGCTGAAAAACTCTTCGAGTGGAAAAGTTGTATGTCACTCAATTGTGACATCAACGTCGGACAAAAACTGGGCCTGCTATCACTACAAACGTTCACCATTTGACTTGTGGGCGACTCCCCTATGGCGTCACTTAATTCTGTGTGCTGCTGTTTGATCTTGTGTGTGTGTGTGTGTGTGTGTGTGTGTGTGTGTGTGTGTGTGTGTGTGTACGCGCGCACCATGGCATATCTGGTTGCATACCTCCGAACCAACGTTGAGCCTGTTTATTTGAATTAGCCGAGTATTATTATGACACAGCTCGATAGTTTAGTGCTTTTTGTCAATCAGGCTCAAATCTCTGTTCCCGTCTCGGCCGCCGCCAACACTCACACGCCGCGGCACCGTGATGGCAGCGAGCCCAGCACACTTCTCTTGTCTAAACAACCCCACTTCCAGCCCTAATATGTTCAGACCAATGCGAGACGTCGGTGAAGCAGCGGGAGAATTTTCGACTGGGGCCTCATTTCAACTGTTCAAACTGACCCATGGGAAAAATAAAATATTGAAAATAGGATTATACGGTTTCAAATGATTCAAATCCCTAAAGGTATTATGAAATATAGTTTGGTATTGCACTGGATACTGGCTGATGGCAGATGTGAAAAAAACAGGTGAAATATTTCGTGTGTGTTTCACTGTGTGGTATGGTTCTCCATAAGCATCAAGATTTCAGGGATTCGTTACAGCAGCAGCAGATCTCATCAGTCCCATTTTTGGATAAGACTTTTATCCTTTTAGTTTGAAATTACCAGCACATATGGAAAAATAATAATGATAAAAAAATATTTAAAAATTTTCCTTTCTTCAAGCACAGGGGGTTCAATGTACTTTTCCAGGAAAACGGATTGGAGGAATGTGAAGATATTAGGCACAGACCCAGACTGAACATTTTGGATTGCATATGTTGCTTTTTCATTACGATCACTCCGTCACTTCAAAATGTATGTCATTACTGTTATCTTATTATAAAACCACTATAATGTCTGATCGGATGCTGACTCCTGCACAACACTGTCTATTTATGTACATAAACATCTCCAGTCATGTTGTCATCAGCGTGGGAGTACTGTCCAGGATTCCAGTCGCTTAGCATAGGACGATTGCGGCACTAAATGACCACTGGGAAGTCTGAATTATGACACTTGAAGCTCACGACAGCCGACCTCAAAGATTTCCAGTCAAATGAAAACAAACTAACAAACAAAAAAAAAACATGGCTGACGACCAAAATGAGGTAATATTTTGCTTGTGTAGCCCAACATCATTTTCCATGCAATGACTGATGGCATTATATAAAATGAGTTTAGTTAAGGTTAAGGCGGCACTGTGAAATAATTGCACATCTGCCACACAGCTGATCACAAGTTTAACCCTTTCAGGGTAAGCGGTTATACAGTGGAAGTTTTATCATTTTATCAGGTTACAGGGTGCATGAAAGCGTTAAATCTGACCTTAGGCCTATTTTGTAAGATCTCCCCAGTGCGGGGTTTTCAGGGTACTCTTACATTGCACTTCCTCTCATATATCAGAAACTGTAAATGGTCCATATCGGTGTGAACGTGCACGGAGATCCTACCAGGTCACCATGGCATCGGTGAGCAGCAGATGACACTGTCTGTCATCAGGATTCAGGATCCTGGGGGTCAGGATCATTGCCGCATCCACAGACACAACAGCTTGAGCCCTATGGAAAAACATTCACATGCCACATCATGGAGGCGGTTTTTTGAGAGGTATTCCTTGACTTTTGAAGAATCAAGGGCAAGGTCTAAAACTATTTATTACCTGTACACAGACACTTCTCCGGCACCGAATGACCCCACGATCAAGTCTGCATGGAGGGAGAGAGAGAGTGAGAGAGAGGAGACGGGAAATAAGAGGGTTACAAAGGGGGCCCACAGATGGGATTGATTTTAAGCCCTCCTACAATCTTCATCAACACACACTCCTCGTGTTTAATGGACACGCACAAGGACACAGTGTGAGTTGCGGTTGTCACTCCACTCTCGCTTTTTGACCCATGACCCACCCCAGACTAAATTCAGACACCCGCCAAAAATGTTCATGTGTGTATTTATATTTTGGCTACATTGTACCGTGTTGACAAAACAACTTGCAGAAGAGAGCAACACGACCTCGGTGTCAGCATTTATTTGTTGTTTTCATGGATTTTGGGTTGATTTTGATTGGCTCTCGCTGTTTCGAAGAACGCTGGTATTTAATGCTTGTGGTTATGGGGACACATGTTGATGAAAAATACCCACGTACACAAACTGATTAAAACAATCTGTCAACTGCAAAAACAGGCACTGAATTGATTCAAGCCACCAAAACGAGACAGAGCCAAACTGAGATAACTTGAGCCTGAGAAAGAAAACCCAATGATGCACATGGTCTGAGGTAACTAATTACAGTCTAGGTCCATAGTGCATTAATCACTTGTGTTTCAACAAATGGCTGAACGATCGGGTTAGAAGGTGCTCTCCAAGTGCTCACTTTGCAGTCGTGATTTGTGATAGCCCTGGCCAGATTTATATCATCCACCCGTGCAGATTTGCTTGCACTTCCTTTTTTTAATTTAAAGGGAATGAGAGGAGCCGCTTCCATTGGCCGAGAAGCTCGTCGGCTGTGTTCACGCTCACAATGGCGCAAGCGCCCATTTCGAACTGCGCTCATCTGTGAAAATACCAAAAGAAAGCAAACTCCACTCATGTAGACATCTAGATCCTCTTTGTGCTAGACCTGTACTGGTACATGAATAGATCCCCACATATTGAAAAAGTACATTGGAAATACTTCGTGTTAAACATTTATTACCATCAACATACACAAAAGTACCATAAATCGGTACTTTGTGCACTTGAGTACCAGAATTGATTCTCTGGTATCAAATGTGAAAGGCACACATAACTAGCTGGCGATCTCACTTTGAAAAGAAACACTGCATGAAAATAAACCCAGAGTGAAAACTCAACACGTTTATGTTTATAGCAATGCTACATTTTAACCAAGCCCAAAGGACGTTAAGAAAATTTTCCCGTATAGTTTAATTGTACCCAAGTCGCTGTCCTTTGTGGAGTGAGTCCCTTCCTATGTATTTAAGAAGGAAACTAACTGAATTGGAAAGAGTCACATCTGTTTCTGCCTTTGCTTGAAACCGCGACATTAAACATTTAGGCCCAGTCCTTTGTCCCCCCCAGAGTGCCGGTTGCCGCTATGTGCGGTTGTGACAAGAAAGGACCTTGAGATGTGGCTTTTGTGAGGAACTTGGAGGTGTACGACGAAGGGGCGGGTGAGAAGGGAGCAGAATGAAAGGTGTGGGGGGGGGGGCACATGTACTTGGCTTTTAATAGACTGCAATCTGCGAAAGCCATCAGGAGCAAGGTGTGCTTTCACCAGATGGTGAGAGATGGAAGGAAACCACCTTGCTCCCAAGTTTTTGGGTCCCTCTGGCTGTATTTGGGCTCTGGAAGTGGGAAACTCCATCCGTGCAATTGGCAGGTATCTTTCCTTCAAATCACTCTCTGATTTGAGGGTTAAGTGGAAGTCTACTCTTAAAATAATGGTTTACATTGGCTTAGCTTTTGTGCCGGTGCGCGCTGTTTTTAACGGGGCTCTCTCTTGGTCAGCCAGCCTCTCGAATTGACGGTGTCCACCTACTGCTAAGAAAACACGACCTTCGCGCACAGTTTAGACAGACTGTCAAGCTGTCATTGGCGGGACACGCTGACTGCCGGCGAGACTGCGGGGGGGCCAACAGCCGGCGATGAGGCGAGGTCAAAAGTCAATGCCGCTGGATGGAAAAGAAGATGCTTTCTGAGGAGATTTCTTCATTCTTGGGTGCCTGTGTGGGATTTTAGCCTATTCCGTGACTTATTTGCGCAAGTGCATTGGGAGATGACTTTCCTATATGATCTGCAACTTTATACGGGAATGAATAGCTGACAAATATTATTCCTGGAGTATTTTCCCCAATCTGCACTATTTTTGCAAGTCAGGGGGAAGTTTGCAATAAATTCGGACTTGATGACAAACGTTAAGCACCACACACGTTGATGAATACTGAATACTAAAGCAGCACGCCTGTGTGACTGGCAGGTAAATGTTGTCCATTTCTCACCTTTCACCCCTGAGATGAAGCGAAAAGGTGTCCGCAGGGAATGTGAGCGTGATTCAGTGGCCGACCCCCACCCTGCATTCCTGTGTGGCCTCCAGCACATTTAATGAAATATCATCTCAGTCTCTTCAGTGAAACACACCGCAGGTGTGCCTTTGCATCGAAACATATTGATGTTTTCCTTGTGAGTATACGCAGAACTTGCGTAGTTTTACAGGTATCTGATCTTTCAATTCTCTCAATTATGTGTTTCTCGCTATGCTTGAAGACTACGGAGGGGAGTTTGCATAGAAGGACACACCTGCAGGGACAGCTCATTTCCTACCTCAGATTGGATTTGTGCTTGCACATTAAAGGCGACAGTCGCGTTACTCATGTTAAAAAAAAGGGGATTCAAGCAACAAGTTTTCCTCATGTTTTCGAGACTATAGGGTGAAAGTTGCAGCTGGCTATTAATGCGGACTGACTATGTGTCAACGAGGAGGAAATGTCGGGATTTTCAAGAAAATAGCTCACAGCAAGATCGCGAAGAAGAAAAAAGAACCTTGAAGTTGTTTCTTTGTTGGAACGGTGAACTAACTGGACTTAAAAAAGTTGAATCATCAGTTTGAATAAGTTCATTTTAAAAATTGTGAACTGAACTTTGAACTAGCTTGCGTAGAAGATGAACTTTCCCAACACTGGTAGTCACAGTGAAGTACGTTTTGTTTGACGTATGTATTTATTTATTAGCTTTATGCTCACGTTTCCTATTACCCTGAGTTTCACGTTAAAAAAAAACAAAACAAAACAACAAATGTATACAACCCCACCACCACCCTCATTTGACGATAAAACCAGCTCATTTGTCGTATTTATTTATTAGCTTTATGCTCACGTTTCCCATTACCCTGAGTTTCGTGTTAAAAAAACCAAAACAAAACAACAAATGTATACAACACCACCACCACCACCCTCATTTGACGATAAAACCAGCTCAAAGTTACACTGAACGTTAATGGCGACTCACAGGCTTCCCAGTTAGTTTCCTTCTAAGGCTGATCAAACATCTTTGTGTCCTTTGAACAGTGTGACTTTACTGGCCCGCAAATGACTTAGCATGTGTCTACGACTCCTTAATGACAGGCGGCACAACTTTAAGCGACGCATTTGTGCGCTTAAAGGGCACACACATTGGTGTCGCACCACTATTTTGCCACCCAGCGACTCAAACCAACTTCCTCCTGCATCAAAGTTTCAACCTGCAACCCTCGTATTTGCATTTACTGCAGAGTTTTTCTGAGTGGAAGATTTCTAATTAGCAGTTACACAAGGCCTTAGTTTGACCAGGAGCCGGAACACACTCCCTAAACCGCTAATGAAACAAATCAAAAGTGAGACTTGTGTGCATTTAGGCGTGTACCTCCATCGCAGAATGAAGAAATCTCCATCACTATGGCCATATGTGCGCAAAAAGGGGCAAAGGGCGGTGCAAGTAAAGAAAAGAAGAGGTAAGGTTAATTGTGGCCTTACCCTTAATGCAGCGTAGCTCCAAATTAGGGAGAAAATGAGCTCGTAAAACAGTGATTTTACAGCCCATGCTTTATTTCTAAAGACTTATATTGAGATGATGTCAAGAAGTGTGCATACAAACTGCCTTATACTTAAAGAAATCGAATTCTCAATTCAAGTGTATGGCAGAGGTTTGTACTTAAGGGAAAAACGGTAATTCAATTAGGTTCCGCTTTAATGGCTAAACCTTATTGGGGAAATGCATTATGTGAAGTGAGGGAGGCAAAGTGCGTGTGAGGGAGGGATGAATAGACGATGAAAGAGAATGGATAATAACTGAATGGCCAGCTCGTGATGTACAAAACAGTGGAAGGAGGTATTGAACAAGTGATGATGGAGTGACAAAAGAGGGGTGGAGGGAGGGAGGGATGGACGGATGGATGGATGGAGCGAGGAAGGAGGTTGAGTGAGGGAGTGATCGAAGGAATGATGGAGAGACAGCTGGAGTGAGGAAGGCGGAGCCTCAGGAAGGACGGATGCATGACTTGGAGTGAGGAAGGTGGGGTGGATGGAGGTATGGATGGATGGAGGGGGGATGATATGGGCGGATGGATGGACAGAATAAAGAAGTACGACGGATAACCAAAGAACTTGATAGGTGAATATATGCATCGATGGATGTAAGGGAGAATGCTAGGCGGTTGAAAGTAGAAATAATTGAATAGCGAGAGCAATGGAGGGAGTGAAGGATGGAGAGCGAGCCAGCATGTTAAACAGAGATGGATAGACAGATAGAGAGATGGGTAGGTAGGTCGGTCGACAGATACATCGATGTAAATTGTTACATGAACTCAGACTAAAGAATGTCTTCAGTTCATTGGCACAGCTCCTTGGCGGCCCTCCTTGGAAATGATGACTTTAGCAGAGCGAGCCGAGGGAGGCAACGGAGGAGAACATGGCAAAAGGAGGACGGATGAAATGTGGAGGTCAGGAATGAAGAGGAGGGAGGATGTAATAAGAGCAGCTGGAAACCGAGGCCAAAGGGAAGCATTTGGAACTTCAAGGAGGAATTTTGATGATACAAACACAGGCAGCGAACAGAGACAGACTGGCTTCTTGTGTCTTTACCAGGGTACTGGTTGCGGTCCAGGTCCTGGCCTCCTCGCAGGGTGAAGCCGTAACCTGGCCGGGGGCCAGCGGGGGCGGGGGC